TTTGAGTGGTCATAAAATAAAAGCTAGCCAATTAATCGACAGAGTTGCAAAACGCCGACCTAGGCTATTCAGCCTCAAACATCTCATTTAGCACTTTAATAAAACAAAACACTGACCACCGGCCACTTAATTGGCGGGGTTTCGCGAAAGTAAAGACGTGGGTACACTACACCAATTTAATCACCGAATTTTGGGCGTTCCCGTTGAACAAGTTGCTTTTTGGGGCAAGTGGGTCGTGGGAGCACCGGGAGAAAGTACTAAAGCATACAAAGTACCGGAACTCTTTGTACATACCACTTTAGAGTTTTTGCGGTGCATTTTCGCCTGTAAGTATGCGGTCGTAGCGAGTCCATTGTATAATTGCAGGGTGCGGTGTGACCGTCGCCTGAGGCTGCGCTTTATAGCACCTTCGCTGACCATCGCGAAACGTTTTTCACTGTGGTCGCAACCTCAGTTTATTTACGGATTAACAATTAATAAAACGATCCATTATTTTTATGGCTACACGGCTGTTACGAGCCATTTTCTCGGTTTTAAAAGGTGTGGATATAAAATTTAATTTTAATGCTCTTTTATGATGTCGTATTTTGTTTTTGGAGAAATTGTACTTAATATCAATGAAGATGCATTACAATATACGGTTTTATGAGTGTTTCGTGTCATTTATACTTTTAAGTTCAAAGTATCTTTTACGTTATTTTGTTTATGAAGTAGAAAGTGAATTACAGCTTTCTAGTATAACATACTTGTTTACGTATTAAACTAAATTAATCATAACTGGATTATTTCACTGATCCAATTTAATCAATTACTAATACTGCGTGAACATTAACATTAAGAGATGAACCGGCTATTAATCGGCCATCTTGAAAGGCGTGGCCAAATCTTACATTGTTACCGCAAATCATCAACACTATAATTATGGGAAAATATAGATTAAACAGGTGTTAGTTTTTTTTATAGAGTAACATGACGTAACAAACTTTCTTTATAATTCGTTATTAATTATAATAGTGATCTCCTTTCATAAATAATCACAGGTATATAAAGAAACACATATTATCCATGATTTCTCTATTCTTAAGCTGCCCTAAGAACCTAAACCTAGACCAAAACCCTAGCATTGTCTTAACAAGACTGACAGTGACAGATATAAAAATAATGCGGAATGAAATCAGATTTTAAGAGCTTAGCACGTGCAAAAACAATCCATTTCGTCGTAATAGTAAAGACTAATTTGAATTGTCACCTAGTCGTAAATAATTTAAACAGTAATCGTCTTAAACTAATCCTAATGCAAAAGAGAGTAACTGATTATGTAACATCAATGTAATCGATACCTTGTACCGAAGCATTATGGATTACATTAGGCCAGACGTTAAGCCGCGTCTAATACTTATCGAGAAATTGATTGTCATGCCAAGTAAGCGATTTTATTTGCAAATTTCAAGGTTGATCTGATCTTTGAGATTTGCTCGAGTATTTTGCTGTTCAAAAATTTTGTGAAGTAAATGAAAAATATTAAATTGATATTGTTACTATATTTCGTATAAATTCAAAAGGAAATGGCAAAAGTTACCAACAGCCTTTGAGGCGTCTAGTTGTGTTACAAATTACTATGATTGGTGACAATTATACTAATGACAGAAAAAAAGTATATTTAAAAAACTACGTTTAAAAAAACCGATCGACCCTTTATTTTTTTGAAATCAGTTAATTTATATACTAGGTAAAACCTTTTCTTAAGTGTAACAAACACTTTTCTGAAGACCTTATCAAAATTGGTTCAGCCATTCGCGAGATAATCGCGCACCTACATACCTACACACATACATACAGATCTAACCGAGAACCTCTTTTTTGAAGTCGGTTAAATAATGATACACATTTTTTCATGGAATAGGAGGCAAACGAGTAGACGGATCACCTGATGGTAAGCGATCAGCGCCACCCATGGACACCCGCAACACCAGAGGAGTCACAGGTGCGTTGCCGGCCTTTCAAATAGGAGTACGCTCTTTTCTTGAAGGTTTGAATCTCTAAATCCTCAAAAATCATATAAATAATAGGTACCTGACATAGATTTGGGAGCCAAGACCTTATGATTAGTAACATTAGCAAGTGCTTGACCTTCGTCTTCTATTCTTATCATCTTGTTAACTACAAGTTATAAATAAATGACGAACATTACTTTTATATTGAAAGTCATTACCATCTACCACGTGGCACTACCATCATTTGTATTATTACCATCGTCTGTATCATTGCAGTTACCATGAGCGCCGTGATTCTCTCGCCCACCGCTTACTTTCACTGTAAACTTGACACGATTAGTTCGAGCCCTTCGTGAATTTATTATGTGAAAGAGTTCGTTTATTTTTGTTCTTTGGAGTATCGGTTACACGGACGCTTTATTGAGAATGGGAACTTTGAAATTTGAGTGATTAGGTTCACTGATCTTGTGGCAATGTATCTTAGTTGACAGTGTCTTTTGGAAATATTTAACTTTTACTATTTGACTTGGGTATGCTCAGAGTATTTCTTTTAAACAATTTTGTCGTAAACAATAAAATTAACAGTAAAAAAGGAATTATTCAAAATGGAATAGTCATTCGGAAGTTATGAGCGTAAATATTAGTCATTTATTTTTATAAACACAGGTATCAGATATAAATGGTCAGTAATCGTTTAAAGTACATAATGCATACATTCAAAGCAATCGTTTAAAATATTCATCAAAAAGATTGAAATGAACTTCTCACCTACCATCAAAACAACCTAAAACTTGAAAAATCAACTTTCAATCAATAACTATTAAAGAAAGTAAATTGTCCGTACTTACTTACTTACCGACTTTTACCCATTTCTCCATACCAAATATTTGCATAAAAACTCATATTCATACAGAATTCGAAAGCGACTGTCTCCCATACAAACATAGAATTTACATGCGCGATCTATTCAAAGGCCTTAGACGAATCAAAGAATAGTTAGGCGTTCAAAAGTAAACAATATTATTGAGTAAGGAAGCTATCGCGCACTAGATCTTGCCGAGCGTTGACCTGCGCAGGGGCTCACAACGAAATTGAAAGTAAATCGCGACAGTGTAGACGTAGCTACAGATTGTGGCACGTAATTTTGCTTACAAATGATTTATGGTCCGAGATTAATTAAGAGATTTTAAGAGGTCGTGTTCAGAGAACATTTATTTATAAATGTTCTCTGAACCTTTGATCCTTTGACCAAACTCTGATCCTTTAGGATTCGTGGTGCGAAATAAAAGCATTAGATTAACCAAACGTACAAAGGGACAGGGACAACAATAACACAATAGTGGTAACTTATTGAAAGTAGCAGTTGAAAGAAATTCATTGAGGAGATTGCTGAGTACAAGAACAACCATTAAATTGGAATAATGTTGACTAAGAGAGATACAGTCATAAAACTTATTATTTTAATATTGGATTAATTGAGCTAGTACTTATAACATTATTGAAATTAATAAGAATAAAATTATGAAGTTCATTGCGGTCGAATTACAGTGCTATAAGGGGCAAAAGGCAGGCTATGCTCTGTTTCATTTTATGAGTAAGGATGTACCTTAAACACAAATTTATAGCATGTTTTAGTGGGAAATAATAAGGACTTACTGATGCATAGACATGAAATCCTAAAACATCTTTTACGAGGAAGTTATTCTAATTACAAATTTAGATTAGTTTAAGATTAAGTTAAGATTTGTATAAAACTGTATTTTACGAGAAATAAACAGCTTTTATTATTATTATAAAGATCGTCTACAGACTACTTTAGAATGATGTATTACAAATTCGACCTATAAATTTTGAAAATTACAGATGCATTAAAAAAAACTATGAAATGCTCGCTAATCATGCTAAACATTACAGAGCTCTTTTAACATGTGAAGATACAAATGCATGTTAAAAACGTGGACCAACCAATTAGACAAAAAATGTATCGCTCTCATCCAAATCACGAGAACCAATTGAATTTTATTTTTAAAACACACAAAACGCTCTCTACACATATCTACTCTTTATTTACACTTTCTCCAACTGACACTTCTAGGATTTCGAGGACCTATCTCATGTCAACCTGTCAGAGACTTGTCACGATTTAAAAAAAGAGACAAACTTACGCGTCAATCATGCGTGTGACAAGGACAGTTGTATGTTACGTTTTCAGATATACAATTTCGTCAGTCAAATGTTTGCGGTCAATGACATTCGATATCGTACTTTTGCTTTCGCTAAAACCTGAATTGTCTTGATGTGTATTAATTGGTAGGGTAAGTGCTCCAGTGAATGAACACTTAAGCGATCTTTGAACTTCAAAAAATTATTACATTAATTTGCCTCTAAGGTATACGACTCAAAACTATATTTTGGTGATAAAACTATATTGAATAATATTTTTTAAGTTGGATAAGCGACATAACTTCTATATTTTCTTAGATATTTAGCAATAAATTGAAAAATACCCTAAAACTCCAGTGAATGAACGAAATTTTCTAGTAAATGAACTAAAAAAAACCAGTAAATGAACACAATTTTTGTTTTCTTAATAATAAAAAAAAACTTTATTTTATAACAATAGCAGTCCAGAATCAACTTAAAATAAACGAAGATAAATCCTCTGCCTATATCTGTTACAATCATAAACAAAATTAAACATATTTTAACAAAATAAAAGCCTTCAAACTCTTAGCTAATCATTATAAACCTTAATAGGCGCAACAGACTCGTTATAATCTCTTATAAAAAGAAAATAAAGAAAATATATAATATATTTTTATCAAAATATATACGTAAAAAACAGTACTTAAACAACTAGACAATATAATTGTAAACTTAAACTTGAACGTTACAGAAAACTTTAATCAACCTCAGTAATAAGTAGTTAATAACAATAATCAGTCAAAACAGTAATTTTTATTATTTGGCGTTATTATTCTTTATTCTAAATCTTTAAATGTAACGTTATGAAATGAGATCAAGCCACGTCTGGAATATTCAGGTTCACTTAAGACACGTTCTACGTCCTTAAAATCAACTTCTGCCACATCCGGTACTTGTGGTTTTACAAAGCTAACGATGTTATCACATACAGATTTTTTTCTAAGAAAATCTATCTTATATTTCTGTTCTTCATCGTTCACCATAAGAACTCTACCTATATAATGACGTATTCTTTTGTCTGTCTTGAACCTTACCATAACATATTTCCCGTACAAATCCTTCGACGGTATAGACTCATCAATTTCATCGTTTGGCTTAGCTTTTTTTACCTGATTTTTATATTCTGTGTTATTATCAGAGTTTTCTTCGTGCTTGTTAGTTTTACGCTTTCGTAAAAGCTTTTCTTCTTCTTTACTTTTCTTTTTGTTTTCTTTGTCTTCCTGTTTTCTTTTTTTCTCATTTTCTTTCGCCTCTAATTTCCTTTTCTTTTCATTTTTTTTCTCTTCTTCTTTTGTTCTCTTTTCCTCTTCAATAATTTCAATATGTTTTTTGTACCTTTGACCGGTTAATCCAAATGGCATAGGATTCGATTTCTTTGTGTATGTTTTCTTCTTTGAAGTGATTCTAGGTAAGCTCAAAAATGTTTCGATTTTATTGGTATCCATTCCCTGTTGTGTTTCTTCTTCATTGATTACACACTCGCCCATAGCTGGAATATTATTATCAATTTCTGGATGCTCTTCAGTAAAAATCTCAGGTGCGAAAGGTGTAGAAAACGCATCACTAAGGGAAGATTCGGGACATACTGTTGTTGTTTCAATAATACCAGTGTTCTCTGATATTGTGCCAGGTAACGGAGTATCGTACCATGGAAGAGGAATCACAGTTGGCAGGTTTAAATCGCTGTCAATTATTAGGTCCACTATATCACTTGTCTCATTAAAATTCCACGTAGACTCTCGAAAATATTCAGAAAAATTTGTAATGTTATTTAAATCAATTAAATCAGTCGTAGTAGGAACAATTAAATCAATATTTTGATTATTATCGACTACATCATTATTTTGTTTATCTGCAACCTGGATTACTATTTCGGAATTACTTTCGGGCTCAATACTTTCTTGAGGTAGATCTCCGTTTATGTCAGTTAAGGACGGTCTGAAAGAACTAGATGTGTTAGATAAATCAAGAGGGACATCAGACGAAGTATTGGTTGCTATAGTCGTATCTCTAGTACCATCTATTACTTTTCTACATTTAACCCATAAAGAAAAGTATGGATGCTGATGCATTTGCTTCAATACATAAGTCTGAACGAACTCATTTCTTAAAGTTTGTCCAACTTCTGTTTCAATAACTTTAATTGCACTTCTCATATTATTTCTTCTCTCTTCCAAAATTTCGTTTTGTTGATTTCTTAAACTTTGTTCATTGATTTCCTCTCTTCTAGTACTAATACATTTTGAATAGTTAACAGCATCAGCATTCATAGGAAACAATCCGCATGCTCTAAAAGCATTCTTTATAGTTTCAACTTTTAAGCCAGCGGTATAAGCTTCTTGAAACTTTTTAGCGAAATTTTGTTTCGTTATTGAAGGTGTAGAGGATTGCTTATTTTTCCGTTCTACTTTCCTCCAACTCTTCTTTAAAGGTCCGAAAATGGCCACGTCACAAGGTTGCAAGATGTGCGTAGCATTAGGATATAAACAATATATAAAGATTAGCTTTACTCGACAAAATTCAAACATTTCCTGATTAATGTGAGATTTATGCCCATCAAGAAAGAGTATTACCGGAAGTTGAATTTCATTTTGTACAAGCCAATCGTAGAATAATTTAATATATGAAAAGAATGTGTTCGATACCATCCATCCGCTATCTGATCGACCAATATACCAAGAATCCGGAAAATTTTGAATTACAGCCGGGGGCATTCGCTTGTATGGATATACTACAAATGGAGGTACATCCTTTCCATCCGCAGCAAAAGTGCAAAGAACCGTTATAGATTCTTTTTCCTTTCCACTAGCGATTTCATACGTATTCCTATAATTTTTAGGTCCTAATATGATTCCAGTTTTAGGGCAGGTCATAACACCTGTTTCGTCAGCATTAAATATTCGACTAGGATTGTTTTTAATATCTAAAGCATCTTCTTCGATCAAAAACTGATCTAGTTCCTTAAACCAAGCCCTGATAGCTGATTCAGTGACTGCGGCTCTGCCTTTAGAAATTACTTCCGCATTTCTTTTAGTAATTTCGGGATGTCTGTTTAAAAACAACTTGAGCCACTTTTTTCCTGGCCTGTTTCCGGTAAATTTGCTTTTTCTATTATTGGCAGTTAAAAAATTTTCTACCGTATCAAAAACTTCTTCTGGGTGCATCGGAAAACCTAATTTTGCTTTATTTACAATCCATTCAGCAATCTTTGCCTCTTCATCTACAGTGAGTTCCGATGGAGGACCCATTTTTCTTTGCAAGGGTACCTTATTAGTTAATTTATTATGAAGGGTGGATTTTGGTATACTAAAAACATTACTTGCTTTGTTAATAGTAATTTCTCCTTTAGCAATTGCCGTAACAGCTCTTTCCAAAGTTTCTTGGGTATATCGAAACCTTTCATATTTTTTTTTATTGGAATCCATGGTAATCTAAATAGACAATAATAAAAAAATTAATGTAATACTAAATTTTAGGATTTAAAAGTATTTTTTATTCAACTGAATATGTTGTGTTCATTCATTGGTTGCATCCTCATGACGAAAGCTAATATTTGAACATAAAGAAAAATGTTAGTTCATTCAATAGATTTTATGAACCAGTAAATGAACACACCTGTCCCAATACTGGCCTAAAGATCGGCAATCTATTGTTCAAACTACTCCCAAAACATAAACAATATGGCATAAAAATAAATTAGATATTTTAATAAAAATGTGAAATTCACGTTTGTCCAGTGAATGAACAGTCGTTCATTCACTAGATTTCAAACGTTTTTTGCTTCCAATGCTGGGACAACGAAAAATTTACGCAAAACTGGCTAGAATGGAACTTTAATTGACTTCAGATAAATATTTAAACTATCCATTGTTCGAAATAACAAATAACTTACAGCGGATACTTAAATTACGGCTACAAAGTTATATCAAAAATTTTGCGTCTTACCCGAGTTCTTAATTCTTGCTCGAACAAATACACCGTTACACTAACCTGCAAACTTTAAACGCTTCGCTTTTTGAAAGGAACAGTGACATAAGAAAGAAATGTTGTCATTTTATTAGAAAATAGAGTTGCAATTACGAAAAAAAAAACTGCGTTTGGTAGAAATATCTCAATTTCTTATTTTTTTTAAAAAACTTCGTTTTGATCATTCACTGGGGTATGTTCATTCACTGGAGCACCTACCCTATATTAGCGTTGCCATGTTGTTGAATAAGTACGCTAAGGTAAATTAATAATTTGATTTGAAAGTTACATTTACGTGCTTGCTTAATATATCCGATTATGGATATTAATAAGGAATACGATTTTCTTAAGACTAGACTCTAGTAAAATTCTATTCAGAATATTTCCTGAGTAACATTTTACTACCAAGTACAGAAATACTATAATTTTGTCATTACACATTTTCCAATGCAATAGACGTATATTTTATTTGGCACTAATATCCAATAACCTGGTTCTTCATAATGGGCAATTCACTAACTACTTACATAATAAATAACAGTAAAATATCGTTAGTAACCTTTTCTCAAAACATTCTCTAGTAATAATTAAATGTGTAATACTCGGAATAGTTAATGAAAATTATATTTCATTCAAGATCTAAAACCAGCCAACCGAAGTACCTATTAAAGTTCATGAACTTTGAAAACGTCTCGAAGCATTGAATAACGCTCAATACAAAATACGAAGCAAAGCTCATAAACATGCACACGAACAAATCATACGAGATACAGTTCTTATCACATGAAGCAAGAGAAACAATGATAATAATTCAAACAATCCCTATTGATGGAGAATTCACATGGAATCCTAGGAACCGTTGACAGTTAGAGTTAATTGCCCCGTACAATGACGGCACCCACAGCGGCTGAGAACCTGTGGGGCTGCATCATAAACCCACATCCAAGACCTGCTGGCACACATCCAGAGGTCGCCGGCGACGGTTAGGCCTTAGAATAAGCGGGCAAGCGATAAAAACATATCGAGCTACGAACTCGCTTTATGGAAGTGTGAATTGAGCATTTGAGTCAGTTTTAACGGAGTTTAATGAGAACATTAGAGTTATTGTTACCTTTTTATTACGTTTTGACTTATAAGGTTGGTACTTATTAACATTGACATTAAATTGTTAATGGAATCGTAATATGTCATATGTCATATGTGAAACAATAACAATAATGGAGCCTAATTGGCAGTCATAACTTTAAGTTAATTCACAAGAAGTAGAATTACATTTTATTCCATTGCCCACGTATAAAGTAATATAAAGAAGACAATATAAAGAAGAACTAGTAAAATAGACGTGTCATGACAAAATAAACATGTTGCTCGCTGCCTTTAAAGCTTCACCGCAGCTATGCGTTCCATGACTGAACTAATCAACATGACGAGCGTTTTGGATACATTTCGTCGACTTTTTAATTGACTGTTATTCATATTCGATTAACAATATCTTTTTCTCATATTTATGAATACAGTTATGTGATCCGTCGTATTCATAAATGCTAAATGCTGTTATTTGCCGGTGGCATAATTTGTTTAACAAATACTTTTCAATCAAAATATTTGAAGTTGTTAGCAAGAGTGTCTGTAATTGCTTAATTGTATTACATAGAGTGCTTCAGTTGCTTTTTTCTACTTACGTATATCAGGAGTAAGGAAACTTTAGAGCAGCATAGAACAACATTCCTCATTTAATTACACTGTCCAGCGCAGATAGTTGATTAGCATCAGCAGAAATTAATTAAACCAAAAGCCGACGCAGCGAGTGACCGCAACAAATCCATAACAGAACGTATAATTACATCTATGTAACTTGAGTAAGAAATAAATCATACAATCGGTTCATGGTGAGCGGTAAGTAAGAGTAGTCAAAAACGAAAGTAGAATCGATCTAGAATCGACACAGCCGAAACATCGGACTCGGATTGTGGTCAGTCGGTCGGTGACTTTCACCAGCGACTAATTAGCGATACCAAGTATCGATGTTTACAAGACCACCGCTGTGAATATCGATATCGATGTTCCGCACCTTATCTATCAGCGGATGACATTCCATCTAATTTGACGTGGGAATGAATGAAGTCACCGAGATAAGACTGTAATGACTGGACTTTGGATTGATGAGTTTGAATAGCTCCGTCGACGCTAATGACTCAAGTCTGGAATCAAAGTTGTAAATGAAAGTGTCACGAAATAAGTTAAGTTCGTGTTTAAGATTTTACGATCTAAGTAAAAAACAAAAAAAATTCGCCAATTAACAAATAAAAAGTAAATCTCAATAAGTTAATTGTGCTAATAACCTAGACAGTTGTTACACAATTGTAAACTATCAATCAAATTTACAATCAATTAGCTAATAATAATAATATGTCATCCGTGACTGTGATTAGGTATTTTAATACATCACGAAATCATATAACCGTTCAAAGCCACGTTTGATAAAAATAAAAACATTAATAATAATATATTTAAAAACATCGACAAATCAATGGTGCATCACTATCAAAAGCTCCGCCGCTGACCGGCGCGTACGCATGCTATGCCCGCCTTTAATCGATTGGGCGGGCAGACAAGATACATGACGTTACAACATACATGCTTATAATGAAGCAGTCACTCATTATTTAAAAGAATTTTGTATTGGAAAGAAAATAAATATGCTTATTTATCTCAATTCATTAGCGTAATGAAGAAATAGAGATTCAACCTTAACAATTTTGTGTTACGATAGATTCGAGGAATGTTTAAAAACAATCATTTAAAATTAGATAATTTTTCATCACAGTCACGTTTCGAGTGGATAATAAAAATTACGTGTAAAGACGTAATCTTAAAATAATAAGAAAAATATTACAATAAGAGTATTATTCACGCAACACGCACGAGCTCAACTACATGCAAGACAAATTGTGTTTTTTTAAGAAAGCGTTGAAATTAAATGAACATGTAATTATTTAATAATGTAAATAATAATTAAATTAATTTTTAATCACTCTGTACACGAATTTTTTTTTTGGTACATTACCGTCATTAATTAGTGATGTAACAATAATTATCGATAGAAAATAAGTTCATTAAAAAAAGAAAAGCTACGTTCGTGCAGAATAAATTCATTAACCATACTGCCTTACTGTACAGTAATAAATTACTTCACAATGTGACTTCCAAGCGAAAACGAGTGCGAAACTATAAAATAATTAAGAGATAGTAAAATCAAACAATGATGTATGACGTGAACACATTGTATGAATTATCGATAGTTTGTGTTTCGAACAAAAGATCGTTTGTTAATGTCAATTAGAGGCTTCGATCTTGCTTTCCCTACGACTATGTTCCCATGCATCGCTAACAAAAAATATTCCTCTCTTATTAAAGTTTCGTGCATTGAGAAACTCGGTGTAATTTGAAGGCAGTTGTCGTGCAGCAGTTATTGTGTGAAGTTTGTGTTTTATTTTTAAAAATCGATTAATTATTTTATTACTCATAGTTTTCAAACATGGAATTATAGAAAATAGTTTCATAATTTTCTATAATTCCATGTTTTAATGAACATAATTAAGGTTTAAAGAAAGAGATTCAGATCTAAAATTATAATGCCAAAATGGTAGCAAATTATAACACTTTCATTTTTAGTGGCCTGCGCGCGAGCCTGTGTCGCGTCGCGTCGTAACTGTTACAGTTGTAAACGATTGTCCTTTCAATCAATGATGTAATCAATAGCTATTGTATGTACCTGCTTTATATTAGTCGACGTGTGTGATATTACTAGATGAAATTTAATTAATTGAAATAATCTATTAAGATTAATTTCTTAGTCATCGACTGTTGCTTAGTAGGAGGTCATTGTCCGTTACCAGACCAAGTGTGTATAAGTTTAAGTTATCTTTTTGTATGACTAAGTATCTAAAATTAATCATGTCAGTTGGCTTATACTATGCTATAACAGGCAAAAAATGTCGACTCTTAGGATCAACTCTACCACTCTATTTATTTTAATAATAAATCTTATGAAATTTAGTAAAATAGGTCAAGCTGACACATTGAATGATTTCTCGACATTCAACACGACTAAAAGACTAATCTCGTTTTCAATTTGAAAAGGGTCTGATTTAATTAGGAAAATTAACGCAGCCCTAATTTTTAATGTTCCTTTCACAGCCCCGATGGAACTTTGTTGAGCAGAAATTCACACATTAAGCGATTTATACTTGATTCCAGTTTTCAGAGATTGGAGGATTAAGAGTGAATTACTAGATTAAATAATTAATTAAAACATAAACTACATACCTAATTCATTAATGATAGTGATGTATCATCGCAACTGTCCTCAAAACGTCAATTGCTTCATCAATTATTATGGTTATCGATAAAACAAATCTATGCATTTTTTATTGCAATACGCACACGCATCGATCATCGTTATCTAGCAATATAAACATTACATCTGTACATCACTATTCCGTTCGAATAAATACGAGTGACGTTGAAATCGAAATGCATTGACGTTGACGTCGCGCAAAAAGTTTTTTTTATATAGTTTCAATTTAAAAGCTTTCTAGTGTGGACATTGATAGAATTGGATGCTGGGACATCTCAATTGGACCTCCATTGTAACGTTTTTACATCCATTCGAAATATATGTATTGTATTTTTTGTGTAATCGATTGTAGGTTTGTTGTATTTGTATTTGTTTGTGCAGATATAGTATTGTATTTTTTTTATGGCATAAGCCGGTAAACTATCAGACGGATCACCTGATGGTAAGCAATCGGCGTCGCCCATGGACACCTGGAACACCAGTGCGTTACCGGCCTTTTGGGGATTAGGAGTTTGAGGATCGTTGGGGATTCAGGAATTGAGGAGATTGGGAAAGGGGAGGGCCTCCGGTAACGTCACTCACACGACGAAACACGACGCAAGCGTTGCTTCACGTCGGTTTTCTGTGAGGC